AAATGCTGGGCTTGAAAACATGGTGAGCATTTTCATAAGGAAAAAGACAGGTTTTCAATGTGTGATGATTCATAAAATGTTTAACAATCTGCCGATTATGCAGCATCTGCGAACAAACAAGGAAATTTTTAGAATAACAATGTTAATATTCTTTGCATGAAAAGATGCATTTCATCGGGTATTTTCAGCAGACACCTGAAGTGGTGATCATTCAACATTTTCCTAGAGCCCTTTAATGACTTGATGTAGAATCTTTTAAATCGTCAGTACATGGAGTAATTAACAATAATTATAGCAATATTAGTGGGTTGTTTCCTTGTTGGACCGTTGCCTACGAGAATGGAGAGGCCGTAACTACGATTCTGTGACGTCACACTAGTAGATGAAACTCGGCCGCGGTTTAACACGCGTTCTTATGGGAGAACGCTTGCCGCGCGATGATTTCTCGCCGATATCCCTTTCAGGGTTGATCTGACGCAAAATTTCATAAGAACCGTTTAGAAAGAGGATGAAATTTCACTTTAGAAAACTAACTAGTTCATTTGTGACATTGTCTAAATATCGAGGAAATGAATGCGTAATACCGAAAATCGTTACTCCACTCAGATTCAAACGGGCCGCTCGCGCAACTTCGGCCGATCGAGAGCCACTCTGATTGGTCCGCGCAGCGACTGCCTCACTCATCGATGCACTGATGACCCGGAGATGCTTGTTGTTTTCGGTAAATATCTACTAGCTTGACGTCACAGAACTGACTAGTTACGGCCTCTCCATTCTCGTAGGCAACGGTTGGACTTGCACTTTTTGAGCAGGAGCGCATCATGTAATTTTGATTCTTGCAGTTTAGAAAATGGAGGAAAAGTCTGAGGAGTAAAACGAGGTTTTCTACTTACACATTAGCAAAATGCTGGGCTTGAAAACATGGTGAGGGATCGGAGTGGAAAAACAGCATTTTCTCGCACTAAAACTGAGAACTTAGAGCACAAGAATCGAACACATTTTAACGGTGAACGCGGACTAATAACACTAAAGATATGACGTTCAAGATAAGAGCTAAGAATCCGCATCAATGACATTTCTCCGTTGCAATTCTCTCTGAAGGATCACAAAAAAACCTTTACGACTCCGTACTACAGGACCCCGTTTATTACGAATCTGAGAATAAATCCGAGCTGAATTATGTACGATATAGTGCTCTGTAACGCGCTCGACATTCTAATAGAATATTTTAAACCTAAAATGTTACTATAATAGAAAAAAACTTTAAAAAAATCGAGGAAATTCAACCGACGACGCTTACCCGAAAGGCCGATGTTTTTGACTAACTCGTCCTAACCTCCAATATTTTTCCTCATCGCTGGATGGTATGTTGTTAGTTGGTGTTGTGTTCACACGTTTTGCTTGCAAAGAAAAAAGGCGGCAAATCAATTTTTATTATTGGACCAATGAGTGTTCTCCAATTTGAGTTTGTAAACATCGTGGTTTCTAGGTTAGGTTTTTGGCTGTGTGATAAATGATATTATGCCGTCTTTGATTTTGTTAAAATGACTCGATATATGTTATTTGATAAACGATTGGAGTTTTGATAAAGTAAGTTGATTTGAATTAAAAATTGTGTCCTTAAAAAATCGACGATGAGGTGATTTGGTTAACATGGGCATTTGTGGTACTTGCGGCGTATTGGGAGTTTGTATTATATTTTTTAAAACTTAAATTTTTGTCCCAAGTTACATGATAACTATTAAACATGAGCCAAACACTGAAAATACATTAGTGTCCCAAGTTACCCCAAGTATTCAGGTAACTTGGGACACCAACATTTTTTAAAAAAAAAAAATAAAAAAAAAGTAAAAAAAAAAAAGATGGCGTAGGTTTAGAGTACTAACTAAGACCAACAAATGAGAGCCTTGACAATTTATTATTTGTTTTGTTTTATTGGAGAAATTTTAGTTCAAAGTTCAAAACTTTCCCAAGTTACCCCAACTGACGGTACCTAAATCAAAAATGCTACTCTGCATTTTTATCCGTGTCTGTGATAGCAAATGTTTTTCATTAATGTTTTGTGAATAATTTATTTTTCATCTTAGGTAACATACGGAAGTTCTTCAGGCTGTTCTGAATTCTTCGTATTTTATCTTTGTATTTTCCCATGAAGGAAACAATACAATAACACAATTGAATTATGAAAAAATATCACAGTATTCACAGATCACAGCACAGCTACGAAACAAACAGCACGGTTTTGTTAATTTTTGAGGTTATGTTTGGAACCGGTAGGTAGTGCATGGTGAGGTGAGGGGAGCGGAAGTGGCGCAAGGATTATGGCGGAGCAACCTAACAACACCAAAATACACTTCACACGACTTAATATTTATCCAAATTTCCCCAGAGAGGTTCAACTTACACTAATTCATGTGCAAGTCTTATTTTGTGTATTTTTGGTAACAAAAATTCAATTTTTCAAAATAATTGAAAAATAAAAAGCCTTTTGAAATTTCAGTGAAATTTCACGTGAAATTTCAGTGAAAAATACGCTTGAAATTTCAAGGGCGAACTCAGACAACTACTGTCGCCAGAGCCGCTCTCCGACGCGAATGCGTTGGAGCTTCCTGCTTGTTTATCTTCGGGTGTGTCGACACTCAATTTTTTTTTTCTTTTTCAATTTGATGCCTGATTCTGTTAGCTCAGAGTTACTTTTAGGTCTATATCTAAACCTCGTATCTACCAGCCCCATATAACTCACGGGTCACGTGTTTTAGTAAGTCTCGTGTCAACTCGACCCGGCTTGGGCACCTTTTTTTTTTTTTAATGTATTTATTTTGTAAACTTCCAAAGGAATTATATACAATATCTTTACAATAAGGGAAATTAGTATAAAAGAAACAACAGAGAAGTTTCTTACTATTTGAAAAAAAGATGTTAGTATACAAGAAACAACAAGTTTCTTACTACTTGAAAAACTACAAATTACTACTTGAAAGAAAGATGTATAAGACTTTAAGAGTCTTTAGAATATCAATAAGTGATAGAGAACAGGCATTTCAAGGGTGAATGTGAGCCGAGAGAAATTGAGTTAAAAGTGAACATAGATTTGAAATTTGATTGACTAATTGATTAATTTGAGACTGCGATTTAGATAAAAGATTGATAATGTCTGATGTTGGAGCGTTTACGGCTTCTCCTCTGGAAGCAGCTGTGGCGGCGTATGTCTTGCCTTTGTTAGGACTAACAAAAAGTTGGTTTTGAAAAACTTGTTGATGATTGACAAAAGTTGGTTTTTTGTCAGCAAGACGTTTTTTCCTAATTGCTTGATAGATAGAGCATCCTTTGTAGTTGGCAGTATGACCAGTGGTACCACAGAGAGCACAGGTAGGGGGGGCCTCCTTAGGTTTATCACAGAGTTCGGATTTGTGAGGTTGACCACATTTTACACAAACTGGTTTGCGAGCACAGTAGTTACGAGAATGACCATATTTTTGGCAGTTTAGGCACTGAATTACATGTCTTTTGGGTCGCGGAGATTCAAATGAGATTTTAATATGTTGATTTTCACAGAAGAATGATTTTATGTTTAAAACAAATCTGTTTGAGGGTGCTTTTTTTAGATCTATTCCCCGAAGTGGAATGGGTTCTTTAGTTTTCCAGTGTCTGAGTAGATGAATACGAACTGGTTCATGACCGTGTTTTTTAAGAAAGTCAGCTATGAGAGGGCCGGAGGTTGAAATCGGGAGTCTGCGTAACACAACACGATATGGACGGTCTTGAATTTTTTGGTAGGAATAAAATTCTATCGATTTTCCACGTAATATTGTGATCACTTGGTCATAATGATTTATTTTTGAGAGTGAAAGTTTAATTTGCATTTTATTTAGTATTTGTAACACGAAATCAGTGGCAGAAATATTGGCAGATTGTATTAATGTGGTTAAAGCTGTGTGGTCCGCGCACGAAGCACTTGTTTGGATAAAAAGAGGTGGCGGTTTATTTTTAGTTGGATCTTTGTCAATGGTTTCATTTAAAATGTCAAATTTATTTTGAATAATCACAGGATTATCCTGTGGAGCTGACACGTTTTGTGAAGCAGATGAAGACTCCATATCGTTTATTTTTTTTTGAAGTTCGATAGATCGACGCAGTAAATCCTCGGAGTAGTGTCGGCTTGGAGGGCCGGGGGGGTGGAGGGGTTTCCTGCCGCCGCCCGGCATAGCACACACACACGTAAGAACGCACTTTAGATGTAAGAGGTTGATAAGGGAGCCGCTTAATCGAGAGACGACCGATAGTCGGACCGCTTGTCAGAGCGCACTGCTTGGGCACGTAAGGATTAAACTACTTGATTTACAGTATAAATCAACGTTAAAATGTGTGCCATTTGGTATTGAAGATGCAAATTTTTATGAAGCAGCCCTAGACAATAGTAACAGGAGAAAAACAAGGGGGGGGGGGCGGAAACCAGGCAAAAATACAACAATGAAAAACTCGAGACGTTCCGACTAAAAACTGAGTCAATCTCGGTCGGAAAATAAATTAAAGACTAAAAAATGTCGAAGGAAAAACTTTTTTTCTTTTCTCGGATCTCGTTCACCAACATGTAGGCCTCAGGTTGGCCTTGGAAGTTTAATGAGTCACGCCTGTCTAAAAATTCAGGCATCTTACATATTCATGTATTTAATTTGAGAGAGCGTTAAAATCATGAAAATATTCAAAGATGGCTCATACCTGTTTATGACTGTTATTAAAGGTTCATCTGGCTCTATCGGCCCCTTTTGTCTAAACATCAGGAAAACAACACGATGCAAGCCTGGAACATCAATCATGATGAATTACACAATATCGACATGCATTTTAATATATAAAACACGCAACTGAGTACCTACTTCCATTATTTTAAATTAATTGAATATAGGTTTACAAATATGTAAAAGAAGAGAACTCTGTAAGAAATTACGAGTTATGGTGGGTAATTGCGGAAAATGTCAATTAACAATCGCAATGAATTAGGATGTGTAACAAGGTGGAGAAATGGTGCTGGGTTTACACCATTTCCCGACGAAAACAAAGCCAAGAAGTTCCAAAAATTATAATTAGAATAAAAAATTAATTTTGACTCTAATTATAATTTTTGGAGCTTCTTGGCTTTGTGTTCCCCGCAAAATGGTAGGGACACAGCACCATTTCTCACCCTGTTACATACAGTTCGGGCCACTTCTTAGTACTCAAAGTTGAGAATTTTTTTTTGTTTATCTTTGTGCCGAATTTTTGCACAAAAAAAAATAAACCAATAATTACGTTTTCTTATCCTTTTTTTCAGTTTTATTTTGTTTCTACGGAGTTTTTGAAATTAATGTAGAAGTATAACAATGGTAAGAATATGACCAGTTTTGAAGAAAAAATAATCTTACCTGATAATAATCTTATAATCTTAATAATCTTAAAAATACCTTAAATACCTTAATAATCTTATAAATACCTGAATTTTTTGGCGCGATCGGACCTATGTACTCCGTTAGCGTTTTGCCATTATAAATATCTACCCTCGGTATGTTGACCACGAGCCAATGTTGTCGACACCGGTACTGAGGATTTCTTCGGTTCGGTACATCAGCGTCTACGAACAAACGATTGCATATTTTTTAGGTTTCTAAATATAAACAAATATGAGTCAAACAAAAAAGTCCCATCACTTATTAATTGGACGCGGGCATAGAGAAGGAGAGGGCGTGGTTGCATTTCGGGCATCCTGACCCCCTCGCTTAGCTCGGGCCTTCCTAAAACGCCCCTCGAGGTTGAATTTCTTATCATTCACTGTTATGCGCCCTTTTTTCGAAAATTGACCGGCGGTCCTAGGTTTTGGCTTTTAAAGCTAAACTTTTCAGGCATGAACGACATTGTAAACAAAAATCAAGTTAATTAATCCCTTCTGTATAATAAATAATAATAAAAAAAATCTTCTTTGGTGTCCTAAGCATTCTCCACCCACTCGTTACAGGACCGCGCGCTATCTTCACAATAACGTCGCGCCGGCTACTATTACAGCTGTGCTTACGTTACACAAAACTGGACACGGAAATTTGGCTCAACTGCAGTTTCCTCGAAAAAGTGCACCTGCGCTATTGGCCCTTTTTCCAGAAATGACCAATGACCTCTGACTTAGGCACATAAAACTTGGTTTCTTTGCTCCGAAAGCTGATCAATTATGTTAAAACTTGGGGCATACATGTATAAATTAGGACACGAAAAATCCATTTATGCAATTTTCGAGAGAGGGGCTCATGCGCACATGTGCCTTTTTTTCGGAAAGCCCCTTAGTTTGCACTTCAAGTGATAATATGCGAGCGTTTGAAACCATGCATCTCCAAAGATGGCCACTTCATTAGAAAATCTTACTCTGTGCTTCTATTGAAGTCGCAGCTTATCATTCTATGTGTATGCTCTTAACAGGTAAATTATTTGAATTGCTGAGATGTGATACAGTTATTAAATTATATTTTTTTTACCCTAGAGGTATTTTGGCTGACTTTCCTCACATTTTATGAAGGGCTCAATTTCTAGTCTACTCATGATATCAGGCAAAACTTATATTCAGGCTAGAAGGTCATTAGATGTGATTTTGCAATTACGAGTGTAGGAGTCATAAAAATATACTCACGAGGATGATACAGAAACTGGTTTCCGTGAAATAAGGTGTTCTATTTCCTTGAAAATGTATTGCAAATCTCACCATGTGTGAAACATCATGTGGTCATGCGTTTTGTGAGTATTTGAGAGACGGCCACGTGGAACGACCATGAGATGGTACGTATCAATCTAAAATTTCCTAAAATATTAAGCTAGTGTAATTTATTTTGAGCCCAATGCGTTTTGGCACCTCAATGATGTGGTAAAATCAACGATTCAAGAAAACGCTTACCAACCATCATGAGCGTGTATAAACCACCCTCTTCTGTTGGCCACCAAACTGAAGGAGTATGTTGCGCGTACCTCGGATCCACCTTATTTCCCATGTTTACAGTGAAAGTTGAATACTGTACCTAGGAAGTTAACGGAAATAAATATTTTCAATCATTTTTAGCATGATCTAAATTGATGAGTATACTGAAAATTTAAGCATAGGCTTGAATCAAACTGACGAACAAGAAAATATACGGACTGAAATAGACTAGACGCGGCCTACATTTCAGGAGTAAAAGAGTAGAATATAATATAATTTTCACCAATATATTAAGCAGATTTATGGCTTTAGTTCCGCCGTTGCACCTAGGAAATCTTATACGTGTATTCACACTTCTAACGTCGCAGATTTCCTGTCGCATGACCAGACGAATGGTCATCGCTATTGCTCCAAATTTCGTGCGGCTTACCAGGATTCTTCTTTGGAAATTTCTAATAAAATGTCAAGATTAGCTCTCCTAAAGAAAAAAAAATCCCAATAAAGGATGGCTCAATAAATTGGATTAGAGAGTTTACATATATCATGCTCAGATACAATTGGCTTGGCGCTTTTTGCAATAAATCGATTAATCTGCCATTTAAACCTATGGCTTAGGATAGATACACAGGGTGTTCGGGACGAACACCTTTATTATCGATTTTGTACCACAGCTTCAAATGGGCAGGTATATCCATAATCGATCATTTACGCCATGCCACTGTCAGATACCTAATTATTCTGCAATTTTTCTACCGACAACATTGTGATGCATTTCAGAAATGCATCTCTCGGAGAATTGACAATTTTGCGATTAAAATCAGTGATGGTTTACTTCAGTGGCACAAAAGGCAAATCTGGAATTATGTGAAGGTGCAAAGAAACAATTGAAGCTTCAGTTAATGTCGCACGGCATGCGACGGAAACTACACGAATTACATTATAACGCCTGGATGGAACTATGTGGGCTCAACGAATTTCCGTTTAACAAACATGTAGGAGAGTGAAGGCGTTTTGACTTTAGACATGCACTATCCGCCCTAACCACCTCACCAGCGGTCCACGCAACGCACAGTGCGGTATCCTTATGGACTATGCGGACAAAAATTGGTAAAAGACACTTAACTATAAATAATGAAGATAGTAGCACACATTAAACACACATTATATTTTCCTTTCACTTGTATATATTTTTTTATCAATTTAAATGAAAGTAATCCATGCAGAGTGTGCAAAACTTTAAAAATCATGTGTGGTAAAACGCTGATCATGCGAGTTTAAATAATAGAGCCTAGCATAAAGCGGAATGACGCGACGTGCTGCACTGCTGCCAGCACGAAACGCGCACTGGCGCCTACAAACCTAAGGGGATACTTCACGCATTGCGCAATGCTTGAAGTATCCCCTTAGGTTTGTAGGCGCCAATGCGCGTTGCGTGCTGGCCGGCCGCGATGCCCAGAGAAACAAGTCAGTGAGAATAGTAGGAGTCGGACAAAATATGAAGAAGTTAAAAGCTCACATCGCAGTTAATACTGAAAATAGAGGTTTTAGGAGTGGTTTCCTTGATTTTCTCGTAAAATTTTTTTTAAAAACCACCATATAAAATTAATCATGTGAAGAAATAACATCAAAATTTGCAGTGCTAGTCGGAAATTTCATGTCGAACCTTTCTGAAAGGCTCGTTTGAGTGTGCGGCGGGTTTTAAATGTAATATATTTCTTACTGATCACTGACCATAGTGTAATTATGAATCGTACAACTAGTGACAGTAATTTTTCCGTGAACGCTATATGACAACATTCTACTGTTTTAGTCGTTTTCTTGAACGACGTATCTTATATTAATGTATTATTTATTGTGTCTTTCCAGGTGAAAAAGCCTGCCGGTATGATTCTCTCCTGTATTATTTTTTGTGTACTTCATAATTGTACATAACAAACCAAATACGGTCATTTTTCTCTAAGAAATCATCTTTAGACGTTATTTTTTACCAAGGTAAAAATGATTATAAATAATTTCTCCAATAAAAATGCACTTTTCAAATTTAAAAGGTATGATGTTTACTCACAGATGCGTAAGCATTGGGCGCCACGGACAATACATCTGGAATGACGAAATGTTTTCGTAACGTGGATCTGATACTTTCTCTGGTTTTGTATTCGTCATTGGGAGCCATTGCAATACTTATTCGGGACAAATAAAATAACGAAAATAGTCCGCTCAACTTCACAGCTTTCAAAAGCGGTGTCATACTACTTCGTAATATCTTTTCTTCCATTGATAAATATTGCAGTTTTGAAATTTTATCTGAAATAATAAAGACAACATTAGGATCAATTTTATAGTGTTGAAAATGAAAACAGGTCGATTGCAACCATTTATTTTCCTTTGAAAAAAAATTCCTAAGAAGGCTTAATAAGATTGAGTCAACGTTTTCCTCAATTTCGATTAAAGTTTACGTTCCCCAAGCATGTAATTGACAAAATGAAAACTCATGATAAAAATTGACGTATCAAATATTGTTGATCATTCGAATCTGAACAGTAGTAACATTTCATAATCTTCCTGACTGAATTTAGTACAGAGTATTTAAGGCACATTTTGGTAAACATCGTCATACCTCTCAGTTCTCAACATTTTTCCAAGCACCTCAATTTTTCCGTTTTTCGTTTACAGACCCTTTTGAAATTGCTGACTGGAGCTATTGCTCCTTATGGGTTTTTGCAGGTTACTCGTTATAGTCGTGCTCTCTCATATATTGCTTCGAAATACTGAAAAATGATCATACCTTAAGATAACGATGCAACACGTGTTTTGAAAATGATACCGTGGCATTAAAGCTTATCAATTATGTTCTGTATCCGCAATGTTGCCGCATGTCCCTTAAAAATTAACCTAATTTAGTCGGCAACATCAGTCACAGATATCATGGAATGTGGCGAACATGTGTCACACTTTTGACTTTCAACTCTTTCGTGTGAATAACCCGGGTACGGCGCAAGGAATTTTGATGTCTTATCAACCGCAGGCTCATTATCACACCAGTAAATTTTGAACACACACTCCAATTATCCTTCCTATGCCTTCTTGCATAATATTCTGTTGATCAAAGTGGAACACATAGCAATCGAATGGGGACTTATGACAGGACATGGAATTATGACACGTGAACCGGATGGACTCAAAACGATAAATGATGTGTTTATAATTAAATGTTGATTAATTGCATCCCTCCTGTAGGCCTTGATTAACTACTCATTTTGTACTTCAAAGTTCAGACTATATTTAGTGTTTCTAGCATGGTTTATATTTTTAACGGTGTTTGCTGTTTCCATACAAACTTGATCCACTTGTATTTTTGAGACTAATGCACCAGGTAAAGCCAATTTTTATTAGATCTCAGGTTAATAGATTAATTATTTACTTCTTTATTCTTTTGAATATTGTAGCAAAAAATGACACATTCGTCGTCAAAAATTTTATTGTTTTTACACCGTACACAATGGGATCCTTCATACAGACATCTAATCCGCCTTCAATTCGTAGGATAGGCAACATGACTATTTTTAATGCCGCAGCAGTGACATCAATCATTATTTTTCTCTCTTTCTTCTCTTTCTACGTGCAATCGACGAATAACTTAAGCCTATTTGTGCGTATATGTAGGTTTATGAATGGATGAGTTCAACACGAAGACGGTGAGACTGCAAAGAAGCGTATCTCGGTTTGGAACATCGCAGATCTCCTTTCATACTTCTTACTTTAAATGAAAAAATACTAGATTCCGTTTCTTGAAAAAAGCTCTGATTTTTCTCCCGTGTGGGAAGAACATTATGTGAACATTTCAAGCATTTAATGGGTCTATTCTCCTCTGATATAATCCGATGGGAGTAAAGATTTGGGAACACCGCAAATCAGATACACATTTCTGCAATTTCGGAAGACCGTTCATTTCTTCCTTACTTCCGAGCATGTCTCATCGGCGCATAGCCCTCAAATGGCCCAAACAGCTTTCATAGACATTTAAAAAGTGAATTAGGGGCCGTGGTTGCTACGCGGCCGCCAACCACTGAAAAAAACTACATGTAAAAAATCGTAGAGCAACCGTGCTCAAGTTTTTTCTAAGAGATGAATGGATTCAAAAACACGTCTTCACCCGAAAGAAAGCGTATATTTATCTCTGATTGCAACTTTACGCAACTTTTTTATGTTTGATTTTTAATAAATGTTTTTAAAAAGCTACACACAGTTTTTCTGAAAAGTTTTCTTTAAATAAACCTAAATGATCTCGAATAAAAGTATATATCGAAAATTTCGACGCGATGTATAGTTCGTTCTATTTTATTTTAATGTAACAAAAAAAAAACAAAACAAAATTAAATATCATCCAAATTTCTAAAATCATTACAATGAGGATTATATAAACCCTTTAATTATGATAAAAACTGGAGCAAAAAGTCAAGAATGATGACACGCAGTCCTACACAGCACTCCTACCGTCTATGCGTTAATATGCGTTTCGCCCCAACTGACAGACTGCACTGCGTTTGGCGCAATGCGAGGAATTATTCCTGCAGTCTTGCAGGCGCTATTATACGTTCAACGCGCGCCGGCCGCACTGTGTTTGGCGCGATTATCGAGCTCGCGTTAGAATAATCGCGGCATCGAATAGTAGAGCTTCAAAGGCCTATGTTGAGTTTCGATGCCGTATGCGCATTTCAACGTTGCCTCGTTTCTCCCAATGAAAAATTGTTTCTGAGAAAATTTAGAAAAGTTTTTTATACCCGACACGACTATTTGTTCTATCTTTTCACTTCATTTATCATCAGAAGGTAAGACAACGATGACTTGTCAACAAACTAACCTAGACTAGCATTAATATAAATATGCATTTATTTTTCATCCGTTACCTGATTTGCCAAATTTATGCCTTAAATTAACTTCATTTTAAATTCGCGCATTCCTAAACCAGATATTAAGGTTTTTATTCGCGCAATCCTTGTGCCTTTTCCACGCAATCCTAATATATTTTCTTAGACCTTTCGTGCAATCCTGGATTACCACTCTCAGCGTAGTTCATGGAATTTGAACCTTGAATCTACAATTCACATTACGTTTTATGATGTATATGTTTTCAGGAAAATGCGAAGCAAACTCAAATTCAACGTCAGACAGTTCGTGGAGAAGTATTTTTTGTCATCTCATGCTGTAAATTTTTCACGCACTGGCTGGCCGATCTTGGAAAGGCCTATGGTTCCCAAAAAAGACTTCCATCCCCCAAATTTTGATTCAGAATTATTAGCTTGAAAATATTGTGAATTATAATTGTGAGAAGACATTTCTTCTAATTTTTACGGTTCCTCTTATTTCCTTTTTTAAAAGATCTTTGCAATCTTAAAATACCCATGACAGTCGTATTAAATGTTTAGTTATGTTTTGGATCATTAAAAAATCACATGTTTTCGAATATTTCCCTGTATTGAATTTATTGGCTGCTTCACTTATGTTTGCGCATGAGTGCAAATAGAGTCATTTTCATAAATATTTCATATTATTAAACATTCATTTATTTTCATAAATATCGGATGCATAAAGAAACCGAGTCTCATCGAATTATAACAGAGATTACAGGTTCAGTTGTATTCGTATACAACATTCGATGGAAAAACTTTTGGTTAATGTTTGGAATGCTACATTTTGTTTCGTGGGTTTTAATTTTTTGGCAGAAGAATAAAATGTACTTGAGCTAAAATCTTTCACAACTCACTTTTCTTAAAAATGTGACTTTGAGTCCTCTCGCTCAATTTAATCCTTGTTACATTGTTAGAATTTTTTTTTTTCATTGAGGATAGTCAGTTTTATAAAGGTCATTGAAGTTAGTGCATCAGCAGCCGGATTGTTGAAACTTTAACTGGCTATGTCGGCACGATAAGACAAGACATATAGCCCTATCTGCGCCGTGTAATATATAGATTTTCGATTCTTGTCGTGCCGACATAAATTTCAACAATCAGGCTGCAGCTCTAACTTGGACCTTTAAGTGTCCTCGAGTGCTTTATCTTTAGGCACCAAAAATCTCTTTCTTGGACTAACTTCTTCACCTTCTGTGCAGTTTTGTGTGTGTCTTAATTATTTTCATTTTTTCGAATTGATGTGTTTTCGTTCTCACTGATTCAATTAATGATTCATATGGAACACCACTAATAGTCGTAAATGTACTAATGACTCTCGGTCTATGAACCATAGTTTATAGTATCTCGTACCATACTAAGGTATATATACCACCAGTACGGTATATGTGCGATTATTACACCTTGCCTTTACTACTATTATAGTAGCGTTCCGTATGAACCACTAATTGATTTATAAGCCACAGTTCTTTCTCAGTGTAGTATAAGAAAAAGCTGTCCATAAAGTACAGAACGCTTTAGAGGAGAAAGAAGGCCTCATTTTGAGTTACCAGTGCGTAAAAGAGGAGGGAAAGTCTAGGGCTTCGCCTCGTAGTGCTGAGATTTGCCCGTGGTGTTTATTTTTGGGAGATTAACTCGGGATGAAACTTTGATCCGAAAAGGCAGTTTTTAATCCAAAATCAATCACGAAAGGCCAATTTGAAGAGACTAGGTTGAACAGAGGGTTACGTTCTTTTTAGAGGGCGCGGATGGACCTGTGTTACAGGAGCATTATACTGGGAGGGGGCTACACAGTCTTGATTATCAGCGTTACGTATTTTATGAACGGGCCGAAAGATGTACCTTAATTAAATTGCATTGCCGTATGAATACCTGTAAAAGATCAGATATGCTGTTTTATATACAAATGCTTATGTAGTTTGAATAAAATCGTTGCTCCGACAAATACATTTTAATTAGAGGGGTTTTTTTATACAAAAAATGAGCGTCCTTCGATTCTATCAATCAAAATAATCACTTCATTCGCCCAATACGTGACTGTGGGGAGAAGGTAGCTGAAATTGGTCATTGAATGGAAGGATATGTTTCAATGTTCAAAATTTCTCCTGAAGATTTCCCTTTTCGTACACGGACGTCTTTTAAAACAAGGGCAGGAACACGCTCAAATCATTTATGACAAAAACATTAGACATTGATAAAAATGTAGGCTACATACCGATCCTTTGACGAATATCGTGGTTCTGTAAAATTGATTCGTTTCTTTTGTGAGTAGACCAAGAATGTAGTTCTATGCAGTCCTAAAAAAAGAATATTTTTTGTTGGTTAACTTGATTTAAAATCTATAAATGTCTTTGAAAATGGTGGAGGTATTTATTGATTTTTCTCAAGAACTCTGGTTGTGTATACGCTCATGAACACTATTTACAATCGTTTAATTTATGACTTGAATCAACGCAAAAAAATTGAGTTGAAATACATCAGTACCCCAGATTCAAGAGGTTATAAACTCCTTTTCAAAATTTCGGGATACCAGGAGAAAAACGCGCGTCGGTTACATTGATTCCAATAAAAATTACAATTTTTGAAACTTCGTATCTTAGAACCGGCGTAAGATAGGGCTACCAAATTTTCCTTAGACACGGATCCGGTATCAAAAAGGTCTAAAACACCACTAATAGATTTTCCCAATGATGTAAGTTAGGTACCTTTCGACTCTGAGGTACCGATAAAAACCTACAGAGGGGTACATCGATGGCTGAAGTCGAAAAAGTGCGCATTTATTATTGTGATTGAAGAACTCAGCTCGTTTTGCTTCTTTTAAAGAAAAGTATCCAACAGTTTCTTCGGTGAATTTTCATCAGTTATTCGAATATTTATAGAGACAATTTCGGGGGGATATTTTTATTGAATTCCGTTTTTAAAATTATACACATTCGGATATTTTTAAACGTTGCACTGAAGATGCGTCTTTTTCGACTATAGCCACATGAATATCCTGGAATTATAGTCAAAAATAGTCAAAAAACAAAATAACGTTTAAAAAAATGGTGATATTAGCCGTCAGTCAAATGCTTGTCATTTTATTCGATTTTTTCTAAAATAATTTGCTTGGAAAAATCTATAGGTATTTTTGTTTTTTTATGGTGAAAATTAGATGGGAGTCATAAAAAATGACGCATCGTCTAAGTGTCGCAGCGATTGAAGCGTTCGTCCCACCAGTCAGAGTTGGCAGGGCGGTCAAGACATCTTCGCAGTTTGACGCGCCTTCAATCCGGCGAAGCTGCAACATGCTTACACCCGTGGTCAAATAGTTGTATGTCACGCCTGCCGTAAACGAACTCAAATATCGATGGTTCCACACGAAAAGGAGCTTATTTCCCTCGATTGCAACGTTGCAAACCACAGTTAATGCTTCAACTTCAATCGATATCTTTTAAAATATACGCACAGATTCTCTGGAAAATTTACAATAATATTGTGAACGATTTTAATTGATGTCACGGGAAATTTCGTCGCGATATTATATTTAGTCCTATTTTCCTTTTTTTCTTTTTACCGAATAAAAACCACGGTCCCTGATTTTAAATCTTAGTTACAGGGATAGTTATTTTTGTTTTTTATCGTGAGAATTGGAAGGGAGCCATAAATAATGACGCATCGTCTAAGTGTCGCAGCGATTGAAGCGTTTGTCACACCCACCAGAGTTGGCAGGGCGGACAAGCCATCTTCGCAGTTTGACGCGCCTTCAATTCGGCGAAGCTGCAACATGCTTACACCCGTGGTCAAATAATTGTATGTCACGCCTGCCGTAAACGAACTCAAATGTCGATGGTTCCACACGAAAAGGAGCTTATTTCCCTCAATTGCAATGTTGCAAACCACAGTTAATGCTTCAATATCAATCAATATCTTTAAGAAGTCGGCGCACAGATTCTCTGAACAATTTTTACCAATCTTATGAGAGATTTTTATTGAAATCACAGGAATTTGCGTCGCGATATTACATTTAATCCTATTATCCTTTTTTTTACCGAAGAAACAACCGTGGTCCCTCATTTTAAATCCTAGTTATTAAGATAGTTATTTTTGTTTTTGATGGTGTAAATAAGATGGGAGTCTTAAATAATGACGCATCGTCTAAGTGTCGCAGCGTTTTAGGCATTCGTCCCACCCGCCGGAGTTGGCAGGGCGGACAAGACATCTTTGCAGTTTGACGCGCCTTCAATCCGGCGAAGCTGCATCATGCTTACACCCATGGTCAAATAGTTGTATGACACGCCTGCCGTAAACGAACTCAAATGTTGATGGTTCTCCGTGGTAAGGAGCTTATTTCCCTTGATTGCAACGTTGCAGACCACAGGTAATGCTTCAATTTCAATCGATATCTTTTAAAATATACGCACACAATTCTGAAAAATGTACAATAATATTATGAACGATTTTAATTGATGTCACGAGAAATTTCGTCGCGATATTATATTTAGTCCTATTTTTCTTTTTTTCTTTTTACCGAATAAAAACCACGGTCCCTGATTTTAAATCTTACTTATTAAGATAGTTTTGTTTTGTTTTTGATGGTAAAAATTAGAAGGGAGTCAAAGATAATGACGCATCGTCTAAGAGTCGCATGGATTTAAGCGTTCGTCCCACCCGCCAGAGTTGGCAGGGCGGTCAAGACATCTACGCAATTTGACGCGCCTTCAATTCGGCGAAGCTGCAACATGCTTACACCCGTGGTCAAATAGTTGTTTGTCACGCCTGCCGTAAACGAACTCAAATATTGATGGTTGTCCGCGGTAAGGAGCTTATTTCCCTCGATTGCGACCTTGCAAACCACAATTAATGTCTCACAGAATGTCTCATATCACCGCACCGCCGAAACCTCAAGGTCTTCTTTTGTGAAGCCCCGCTCAGCGTCCGAAATCACTTAACTGTTCTTTTTTCTCCAATCGACCACGTGATCGGAGATAGCCCAGTTGTCAACGACATCTTACTAGCGTCTTGATGACGTCCCTTCTTCTGCGAGCGGGGGTTCGGATCTCGTAGGAGACAGTCAATTTTTACTGGTTGTATTGAATGTTTTAGACCAATCATCAAGCAATAATTAATACTTGGCAACTTAGGAAGCACATAGGTCCCTTATGATGCGTATTTGGGCATATGTGTAGAGTAAAAATATCATACGTAGGGTTCTGTAACTTCAAAAGTAAGATAGATACAGACATGATTTTGGTCTCATTTTAAAGATCAACTCAATACCTATCGATTAAAATCCAGATCAGCTCAATCGAATAAAAATTGACCGAGTTATGACAATTTGAAATTAGTGAGAAAAGTTTACCCCTACGGTTTTTAGAAAGATTTTTCGCTTACCAGCATTCAAAAAGTTAATATTCGTATCCACTTTCCTCCGAATCTTCCATAACTTCCTTTTGCTTTTCAAAGTACCGTCCATCAAACCGGATGCACTTTTTCATGCACTCTTGCCACTTATCCAACATTGTTTTCCTGAATTCTTCCTCTGGGATGGAGTTGAAGAAGTTTTGAATTGCATTCTGGATTTCGGTCTTCGATACGAATCTTCGTCCGCGAATCTCCTTTTTAAGCGTAGGAAACATCCAAAAATCACATGGAGCCAAGTCAGGGCTATAAGGGGGATGAGGGATTGTTTCAACTCCATTTTTACTCATAAATTCACGTGTTAAGCTCGATGTGTGAGGCCGCGCAGTGTCTTGATGGAGTATCCACGAAGCTTTCAAGTCCGACCGTTTCCGGGAAATGTGCATTCTCAACTCCTTTAGTACTTTGCAATAATACGCACTGTCAACTGTTGTGTTTGATGGTACAAAATGTTGATAAATGACACCTCGAAAATAAAAAAACACAATATAAGCATCACTTTATCGGTCGACTTTTCGATTTACGGCGATGAAGAATCTTCCTTAAAAACCGTAGGCGTAAACTTTCCTCGCTGATTTCAAATTGCCATAACTCGGTCAATTTTTATCCGATTGAGCTGATCTTGGTTTTAATCGATAGGTATTGAGTTGATCTTTAAAATGAGTTCAAGATCATGTCTGTATCTATCTTACTTTCGAAGTTACAGAACAAGTCCCGGTGCTTTTGGGACACCTTATGTATACTTTACGCCGAAAAAGCGAACCTGAAACTTAAATGCGTTAACTTCCGAAAACCATAAATAATCCAACGAAAAAAAATAATTGGTACATAACAGCTTTCTTGTATATGCAAAGAAAATAATTAAAAATGTTAAAAAAGAGGTGTCAACACAAAATTACATAGCCCCTTCAATTCAGAAGATACTACAAACGAACTGTACCTTAACATTTTCATATCCCAGAAGCTAACGTTCCCATGACGAATATTGCTATCGCTAGCGATTGCAAAATCCAACTTGTTTCATTTTACTATCGGACAAGCAAAAATATACAATTGGTTGAATACAATATTATTCTTAACGTATTTTCTTCTAAAATGCGCCTTGCCGCGTTTATTTTACACCCAACCCAGTTTGCATTTGGTTTATTTCGATTGGATCATGAGAGTTTCTAATTGGGGCGAACAAGTTTAGAAATTTTGGTGGAAATCGGGTCAGTACTAGGTTTGAGCCCATGCATTCTGTCAAAATAAGGGATCATAATGAATATGTTATTTTGACTTTTTGGGTAGTGTAAATTTTTAGATCACTTTTCCTCGATGTGCTCTGGAGGTGGAGTGATTTTATCCGTTTGATCCGATAATTCATAATCATTGCCTGTTACACAAGCTGCCAGAGATGACAAGCAATTAATCAGGCTGAGCGCTGTGCTGTTTAGACACTATTTGATAGGGAAAAAGTAAAAATTACTCCTCAACCATCAGCAACGTGTAAAAAAATTCCATTTTTCGTGGGCCATTTAACCTTTGGCACCAATTTTATGTCTATAGGGTCTAACTTGTTACCCATCTCAACGATCACATTGTTTCTGTAGGCGACCTTAAGAATAGAGAAATGTTCATTGTAAAATGGGTTGCTGAATTAAATAAATGAACTTAAATTCACACAGAAAGCATAAGAGCATAGAGAATTGTTTACGTGAAATTCATCGTGTGTATACGCATCCAAGGGCAAAATAACCTTCGTTAGGATTAGAAATTTTCCAGGAGAGCAGCATTTGTAAAGTTAAGAAAAAAAAAAACAGGAATTTGAATTTTCGCCAAAAGACACAATATTGCATCTCAAGGAGCAAGCAATGTAAATTTTATTTTTGTGCTAATAATATTTGTAGTTGAAAGTTTTGAGGTCTTACCCTTTTCCATTGACGGGTTATGACTGACGAGGTAGCAATTTTTTTTTTTTCCTTTTTTTTTTTCAATTTATTTGGCTTCTATTCCTGTTTATTTAGTAACCTTAGGAATCTATAGCCATCTATAGACATGAATTTTAACAAAGAGATTATTTTATATTCAGTAGACATCAGGGGGATTTTGACACATCCATACCCCGTCTTTAAAATTTTCAGGGATTAAGGTCGAGTAGAATCTGTTTCTGCAGATCCATTCGTCAGTTCAGTGAAAATTTTCGCCACCACCGGGATTCGAACCCGGGACCTATTGGTCTCGGTAGCAATTCGAAGATCCAGATTGCAGAATGCTTTACGAGAAGCTCTATCTATTTCAGAATTGACCAATTTAAGTCGCTATGTGAGTAAACAAACTCTTGTAAGTAATTTTATCGGCGAAGAACTTGTCAGAAAACAAAATAAACTCTCCATGCATGAGATATGATCGAACGTGTAACAAAAACTTACGTCCATAACGAACTTAGGCGCTTCATCAATGATGTCCGGAATGATTTTATATCGACGAAGTATCCGATCGATATCCAGAGCTTTCGGTATAACTGTCTTAACAACGCACACAACTAAACAAGCCGATGACTAAACCAAATTGCTCGACGCAACGATTCGCCGGTTTTTGTTTTCTTTGAGCCATTTTAAAGTTATTAATTCCTCGATCATATCTCTGAAATACATTTGAAATACATCAAAAACAACCTAAATGCTTCGTTTAATGCACAGGCTCATACTCAATGAGACGCGGTGAAACTATTCTAAGAGGCGATTAACAGAACAAAACTGAAGCAACTGAAAGCTTCTGAAACCAGAAATTTGAGAACGGACAAAAAGTTTCGGCAGAGGAAATCAAGGTAGGACATTAGTGTGCATCTCAGGAACTTGGTTCGACGGTGAAACTGCAGGAATGTTTAATGTTTATCTCGGTTTGTGGCATTGCAAGACTTCCTGTCATCTTTTAATTTTTAATGGAAAAATATCATGAACGTTATTTCTCGAAAACTTCCCTGAGTTCTCTTGTCAATGAGAAAATAATTCAATGAAAATGCCAAACATGTAGAGTTGATGTGTTCTCCTTCGATAAAATTGCATGAGAGGGGAGAAACTCCCCAAAAGAGATACGCGTTTCTGCAGTTTCATCGTCAACATGCCCACAATTCACTTACCTTGGGTGCCCAAGGCTGAATTTTTGATAGAAGATGGTAACGTTGGCAATCGTCTTCATACTTTCACTGACTAAATTTAATGAAAAAATAGGACATAAAAACTGGTATGCCTCATTGTAAAATAGAGAGATTGTTTATGATTTGTTTTATAAGCGAAAAAAAAGTAATATTAGAGAAAACATCTGAGTTGCGCATTCACACCGGATGTACGCTACGGAAGTTTGGAGAAGAATGTCGATGTCGTGATTGGTAAATGTTTAAAGGGTGCCAAGTTGGGCAATATAATGTGGATATTTTATACGGATATACATGGGGGAAAAGGGTTGATTTTCCGCTTTATCTGGTACCAATGAAATGCTTCCTCCTCTCTGTTTTCCCATCAAGTATCGATATTAGATTAGATTACAGTATATGCTGGCTGTGTTTACTACTGGCATGTTATCTACCATAGCTGACCCTGTAATTCACAAACTCTTGCTTTTGTGTGATCTCTTATTGTTTGGACAGGGTGATAATCCTGAGATCGCATAACAGCCCTCATTAAAATGAATTAATTCAGAAATTGAAGCTCTTAGTGTGATGCAAAAGCCGTTTATCGCACTCTTATTACGGACCTATCCCAGTTTTGTGGCACAAACTGTAATTTTAAAATACTTACTTTCGTATTTCTTGAGTAGCTGTGATCAAAACGTACGGTTAGACTGAAATAAAGTAAAAAAGTCATGCTTCACATAATTTCTACCATTTGTTTTTGATTTGATTAGCAGAGCAGAGGAACTTACGCCGCGCCGTTTATTTATCTTATTTCATTCTTCGTATGAGTGTGAGCTTGAAAAGGAAAAAGAAAATGAAGAAGAGATGGTGTTCAATTTCTAGATTCCGTATTGGCACGCTGAACTAAAATCAAGGCACCACCGATGTGTAACATAAACAAGCGCAGAGACTTTAAACAAATCTCAATCCTCAACGCACTCTCTCCAATACCCACCGTTTCATCTAAAAAAGGTAAGAACTATACTGGTTTTGGCATGAAAACAACTTGTATTTCCTCAGCCTCAAAATCATTTATCCGAGATTCAAGATTAGTTATACTAGAATTTTACGATTTACATTATGAACGAGTGCACATATCGAGGGCTAAGAAAGAAAACCGCCCAACCGACAATTTTGGCGAAAATAAGTTAGCGACTTCGCCGCATCCACTTCAGTATTAAATACGCAAACTAATGTTTTTAGTTTTGTTTTTTTTTTCAAATTTCGCATGACGTCGTTTCTCGGACGGAGGAACGCAACTCCATTCTATGAGGCTGCAAAATTGACTCAAACAATAATTCATTTTGTAACAAAAATGTATACCAGCAATTTTTGTCCAAAATTTGTCTGATTTTTACATGAGATGAGATCAGAAGAAAAATTATTTAATTAATGTTAAGAATGCCTAAGATTCTCCTGGTAAAACTGCAATTTGCGAAAGAAAATTTAACAATAATTCCTTTAAATGGAGTTACGTTCTTTTGTGAAGGAGACGACGATGAGAACGCTGTAATGTGAATAAATTGCAAATCCAACGACAAAATTACAAAAATGGCGAAGTTTCCTCTTTGTCCTGCAAAATCGTCGGTTTGCAGATAGGCGGTATTTTTCCTTAGCCATCGTTATGTAAAATTATATCATCCCCTTCCTCTATATAATTTTTCAGAGCCATCATGATGTCATAGAAGGCATACCTGGTAAATGGACCACATTTTTCAATAAGGAACTATTATTTCTGGCTCATTTTTAAGAAACAACGTCTGCAACATTACCCTGGTAAAAATGTTCCATACGAAATTTGCATGGAAATCAGCCGCATGTAAAATTGGGACGGAATTTCCATGCGCATATGGCATGGAAACCAACTTCATGGAAATCAGCCGCATGGAAAATGTTAAGCAGGGCGGTTGGGGAAAAAAAGGCACCCCTAAGGATTATTTAAGGAAATAATTTTCGAAATCGTGAAAAATAAAATTAATTGAACTATTGGGAGTCCATGCAAGCGTTATCGTAAGTTAGAATTTTTTTGCCTGCATCGGGGATTGAACCTGGAACCTACCTAACACTAGCCGAAGACCCAACCGATTGATCTATACCGAGCGATGAGAATAGGAGCCGAAAATTCAGGTTTTAACTTCGATTAGAACGGATAACTAGAATATCTAGAATACAGGTACATTTGTTCGTTTTTAAAAATATATTTTATTTTTACTTAATTTTATTTTAACTTTACTTTAAATTTACTTTAGTTGTTTACTGTATTTTATTTTTTAACTCTTTTTTTAAACTTTACTTTCTTTATTTTCTTTGACTTTATTTTTTTACTTTATTTTTTTTAACAAATTTTTACTTTAATTTATTTTTTCTTTATATGATCATTTCTTCACTTACTCTTTTTTTCTTTAATTTTATTTTTTATAATTTATTTTATGGTTTTACTTATTTTTTATTTAATTTAATATTATTTTCCTTTATTCACTTTTTGCTGCATTTATGCACGTCCACAAAAGACCAACGAGGAAATGTCAACGATTTTTTGGGGGCCACTAATGCAACCCGCAACAATCGTCCGTGAATTCTTTAAAAAACTACGTTTGACTCATCTTTTTATTTCTCCTGTTTTTTTTTGGTTTTTTTTTCTAACTAAAATTAAGATTTTACCGTATAATGTTATACTGAGCTCAGTGTAGAAGTTTCCAAAAATTATTGAGGTTAACGAAATTTTATTTTATGAAGTTTCATAAAATCTTGCATATCTGGTTTGACCCATCGTGATTAGTACCAAGTGTTTCTGTTTTTTCCACAATGCATTAATAACAATGACTTCGTTAGCAAGCTGCTCAAATAATGGTGGTAACGATTCCATGCTCATTATGGAAAAAGTGAAATGTCCACGCATGTTGCATTGAAATCATAAGATTTCCATCCAGACTGCATGGGAATGATGACGTTTCCCTCCCGCGTGGAAATCACTTGAGTTCTGCGGTGCATGGAAATCAGATCATTTCCATGCAACTTGCATGGACATGATTTGACTTCCATGCGACTTTCATGGAAACCAATTGATTTAAATCAGGTGATTTCCATGCAAATTCGCATGGAACATTTTTACCAGGGTAGTTTCATTTGCGGATATGTTTTTTTTTACAGATGAGCCACGAATAGTTCATCCATATTGCAAAGTGTCATGGCCGGATTTATCTACTTGCCGCTCATGGGCCGCCTGTATTTTGCCGCCCTCTTCTCATTCATTTTAAAACATCTATAAAAACCATCAAGTGAACGTGCCGGAGGAAGAAGGGTGCATAAGACGCGTTCACTCGTGATAGACACATTTTTTTCGTAAGCCTTGTCAACGCTAATAGCAAAAGTTCACGGAACTTCGCGCGGAAGCTCAGTTCCGTAAACCTACCTCTGCGGGGACAAGGCCTTTCATTTGTGAGAAATGAACTAAAAAATTAAGAAAGAATAAATAGTCCGAGAGCCCGATGGCATTTTGTGACAAACTCCTGACACAAGTTTTGACCACTTAAATCGATAGCCTGACATGCACTGCGACACTGAAAATGATGATTCGCCACGTTGTAGTGCGTGACAACGCGTGACAGACAACCATTTTCCGTGTCGGTTCAGATTTGAGTATGGTCAAAATTGCGTCCCAACTTTGTCACAAAATAACGTCGGGCTCTCGAACTAAAACATTAATGTGGTTTAATAATATTTTAACTTCCGCCGGCGTGCCGCGCTGACTACACTGTATTTGGCGCAATGCGTGAAGTATTCATGTAGTCTTGTAGGCACTGTGCGTTTCACGCCGCGCCGACCGCTGTTGACCGTACTGTGTTTGACGCAATGCATGAAGTATTCATGCAGTCTCGTAGGCGCTAATATGTGTTGCATGCCGACCGCCGCGTCAAGGGCTTCTCCTTCTCATCTCAAGTCCTCGTCATCATTTCTCCTTGTGCAGCGTCACTCCAGGCCAAATTACGTGATTGGTTTCTCTTTTAACTCAACTAATGCGCGAAAAAAACTGGTGCGCGGTTTTTTGTACCACCGCAATACGACAAAATTAGAAATTAATGAATTCTCAGGAAATGAGAGATTTTGTCACCTTTTCTTGTTTGTAATTTTTTTCTGAATCCGATTTTTTTGTACCTGCATTTAAAAAAATTGCAAAATTTTCCGCCCCCCAATTTTGCCGCCATGGGCCGCGGCCCATGTGGCCACCCCCTTAATCCGGCCCTGCAAAGTGTAGTCCCTCTGTTGAATCTCGGCTTGCGCGGTTTCAAATTTCCGTCAACTCCTTTGAGAGGAACTCAAACAACCATTATCATCTCATAAAATTTGCGATTTCTCCTTGACGGTAAAAGGTATTCTTTTAAAACTTCATGAAAAATATATCTGATTTTCTTATGGATATATGAAGATAGCTCGCGATCAAGAGGCTGGGTCATTTAGTTTTAACATGGATATTTCGTCATCTCGTTTTAACAGTTTTGGTTTTACGGTTTGCCTTACTCTCTAGAGATCATTTAAATGACCATAGACCTTTGAAAGGAATCTGTAGTAATATCCCCCAAAGCAGACGAAAGATTACTCTAAAATAATGTCGAATAGATTTTTCCTGGCATAAATGGTCGGTCGCACTGGCAACAAGGGTGCGTCGAGATTAATTTATTAAAAAAACGAATTTGTCAGTATTCAACAAAGCAGATTTATTGTAAGTTTTGGACAAATTGAAAAACTTTCAACATTTTTTGGTTTAAAGCCAAAAAAGGTAAAGAATAATAATACGGAAATATTCGCTGATATTTATTATGTCGTATTATAATAATATTTTACAGAGCTTGATTTCAAAGGCATATCGACGGTGCAAGTCGGCAATCTCATAACTCATTTGCGGGGTCTGAAAATCGCCGCAACTATGTTATTTTTTTAAAGGAGAACAAATGGACATGATTCCTTGAAGTTTTTGCAGAATTTTCCTCGCACATAGAAGAAAAATTACGGCAGTTTTAAAGAATTACCGCTGATTAGTTTTCCGTTTAAAAAATAAAGTATGACAGGAAGTCTGCGACGTCGCAAACCGAGTTATGTGATTGCCGACTTTCATCGTCGATATGGAAGAGAACGAAGCGATTTTATTTATTACTTACATCACGTTTTGCATGAGGTAAGCCAACCAGTGACGCGTCATTTCGACGCAACGGAGCTTTGAAAAAGTTTCAGATTTTCGAAGCTCCTTGCTGAGGAAGCAAATTTTACTTCAGGGACTGTTAGAAAATTGCCTACGGAGCAAGGGGTTTCGTAACTCTGAAGGATGAATCCGTCGCGATAGCTTCGGGATTTTCAAAGTCCCTTGCTCCGTAGGCAATTTTCTAACAGTCCCTGCAGTGAAAATTGCCTACTCAGCAAGGAGCTTCGAAAATCTGAAACTTTTTCAAAGCTCTGTTGCGTCGAAATGACGCGCCTCTGGAAAATTTCGTGCAGTACTTTCAGGCCCTGATTTTTCGCGCTCTTTCGCGTGATGTAATCCGTTTTTCCAAATATCATCGACCAAAAAGTTATCGCAATTCTAAAATTTGAAATGAGAATTGAAGGGAAAAGAACCAAAAAGAATTGGTTTTACTTCAGATTAATCACGGCAATTAATAAACGGGATAAATCACGGGAATTATTAAATCATAGCATGATAGAAAAAACAGCCAAAAATAGAAAGAAATGTGCACTATGCTTCACCAATTTCCCCGCTATTCTCAGTGACAAGATTTTCCCGCAAGAATACCTTTAGGATAGAATAGTAGACAAGGTATGAAGTGAAGCATTCCGCTGCATGTTTTTTCATCAAAATTGTGTAGAACACAATTCATGCAACGGAAATTACTGAATCAACTTTCGACTAATCTTGAACCAAGTATCGTAATGTAAGTGGGTGAGCTGGCGCCACTTTTAAGCATTTTCCAGGTCCCGAATTCCGAGGCTCCTGTGTGACGCCGGGTCACTTCTTCGATACATAATCGATTGTTTGCGATGGACGGGTACCCGGCCATCCAATGTAAACAAAGAAGATAGGAATCACCACGTATTCCACACCGCCATTTTGGACCGAACATGTAACGAAAAAGTGACCCGAACTCGGCGCACACCGGGCTCGGAACTCGTCGAGCAGAACATGGCGCCAGATCTCCCATTTACATTACGACTTTATGTACTCTATGTTGCTAAGTTACTGGTAAATGCGAAAACTAATTCCTGATTTAGTCTATATTTTCGTAAAATATTGTTCGAATGACAGTTGATGTCAACTCTAGTCTTGTTCATACCTCCATTACCTCGGGCGATGGTGCGAAATTATCTCTGATTGGATTGTTTAGAGATCTAGATGATGGTCCACTCTTTGGTGCGTAACTGTACAGAGGCCACCCTGTGCGAAAAAAATTTACGGCAAATAGGGTCAGGTTATACTTCTCGGCAAACTTACGAGCGGAGAACTTGTACCTCTTCTTCATGCTAAACCTGCAAACATCAATTGAAGCATGTTTCAAGAACGAGGGATATAATACTACTCACAGAGAGACTATTGCACGGATCTGAATTAAACTGTAGTTAAAAGTGGAAAATGAAAAATGCGAAAAAACCCGACCGTAATCTGCCTCGAAAAAAAGGAAGTCTCAATTATTCACCTGTTAAAGTTATTATGTTTGAAAATCTCCCCACTCACATCGACAGAGCTGTCTAATTTATACTCGGTAAAATAGTTGTATGAAATTGTAATCTAATATATAATCATGCAAAATCTTGATTTAGTCTTTATTTTGCAATGAGGAATCATTATCCTTGGCTCACCCATAGCAACACCCATCTTTACAGGGGGCACTTCATAGAGGAATCATTTATACTAATAGTACATACGTTACTCCTGAAAGGATACAGAGAGTCAAATTTCAAAGTCATTAAAATTTCAACATTTTTCAGTTTTATCTATTCGTTAACGCCATGAAAAAACACTTAATGCCAAAAAACTCATAATAATTAACCTATCGAATTACTGCTCAGAGCATTGTTACGCAAATTGGCGCATTAAACACCCATAAAATAATGATGTAAACGGAATGTATGAACATTTTAAGTATGCAGCCCGAAAAATGCGGTTTTGAAAAAAAGATAGATAAAATGTAACAATGCAATGTTCGGGACTCAAAATTTTCGAATAAAATGCATCTTGAAGTCCTGTCATGAAACAACCGTGACCAAAGTCTCAATCACTTTATTGTATATTCCTTTAAATTTGGAGAGTGTTTTTTGCCGAGGACTTAAATCCATTTTTTTCGATTTAACGTGATGAAGATAGCTATCTTGAGAAGCATCCGTGCACTCAATAGCTGATCGCAGTTAAAGCTCGAAATTCAAAGCAAATTGCACATTAACTCATTAAAATTACAGCATGAATTCAAGAATGAAATGTATTAGTGTTCAGAAAATACTATAGAATATCTTGCATGTTTTTCTTATTTTGTAATGGCATATATAGAGACGACAAGTCGTAAGTTCATAAACTTGCAATAATAGTGAAGAAATTGAGAAATTGCAAATAAATACCTATCTAGTAAAGATAATCTTGGCTCTCTGAAGTTTATGCGCGAATTTTGAGAATAGACAAGAAAGGTAGTCCTGTGAAGTCCTAAAAAGTAAAATGATGGCTCATTAATTTTTCGGTTATGTCGATGAAAGGTTCATCCAAAATTGTTGTTCATGGTAAAGATGCATTGAATTTTGGACCCTAGTCTCACAATATTCAGGTCGTACTTTAAAACCAAAACCCGTGCCTTTAGCGTAAAATTTATCAAAGAACTAAACTTGAATTCAGGTTTGTACAAAATAATTGATTTTTCAAAAAAAAAAAGAAAAAAAAATCTGGCAACTGTAATGAATCCATGTAATTTTCCTAAATTTGGGTATCATTAATTCATTGCATTAGCTCAACGTGTTAATGAGAGTGCGATGAAAAACATTAAACATTCATCTCATTGATTGGTAATGGATAAATAAGTTTCTTTCTACAATGAAAAAAAAAAAAAAACCATTTAACAACTATCACCACTTGTAACTTTTCCCCTCGGAACTAAATATAACACCGCAATTAATCTTGCACAGTGTGGAAAGCTATATCGTTTCCAACCTGAGTTTTTCGGCGAAATAGGGCCTATGTAATCTGTGATCGTTTCGCCATGATGGGGATCATTGCGTGGTATGTTTCCAACAATCCAATGCTGCCTTTGTGCCGCAGACGGATTTTTCCGAACTGGGACGTCAGGATCTGGAAACAAAGAATTAGGGTGTGAATTAGAAAATACATGATTTGCTTCTACGAATTTTAACACAACAATCTAAGCAACTGGCGGCACCAGCTGGTAGGCACCATAAGGCTCAAACTATTCGTTGAAACATTATTTTTAAAATAAAGCTATCGAAAAAATAAAACAATTTTTGAAAACCTGCCCACTTTTAGGACACACTCAGAATAGAATAAAATCGCTCAAATGAATCAATTCTTTGAAATTGTATAAATACAATAGAACGGAAAGTAATTCTAAAATTATAATCACAATTTTTTCTGACTTTGTCATACCGCACGCCCCTCGCTAACTGGTGGTGTCAAAACGAGTTCCCTCCAACTGTTATCTGCAGAGTCTAAATCCCTTCCGCTAAGCGAAGAGATTAATGACTTGAATTAGTAGGCGTTTTGAGATTGGACACAAAATAAATGTAATAGACAGTTGTATAAAGGCATGGTAATTGAAAGGTGTCACTGATGGAGGAAGTACCTAAGTGAGATTCATATTATTTTGATGAAGGTGCTTTTAAAGTTGACAAACGCTTTGACCAATGCATTTGAAGCTCAAACTTTGAGGCAGGAAAAGAGTTCTGGTATTCATTTTTACAACTTGCATCCAATATAAATGAATCATACAGAGATGTGACTAATTGCTCAATTTATTTAATAATATATCTTCTCTCTCATTTCTAGTACAGGTACCCCTTCAATTTTCAGTTAGAATAAAAATACTATATGAGACATAAATAAATATCCTTCATACTCAAGACATATAATGAGCATGTTAAAATTATACTAATCGCGAAAATTTGAAAGGAAAATTATGCAAGCTCAGGAAAAAAGCAGGAGTGTACAGCATTTAGTTATTTTTCCATACAGTTGCCTATACTTCGACATTAGATTTTACCAAAACTGACAAGTATACAGACAACGATTCTCGCTCATTAAATACTATCTCGTTGCAAATTGTAGGCTTTGTACACAAGTAAGGCGAGGAAGACACAGAAATAGCTCACCAATCATCAATAGCGTATAGAAAGTTCCAGCCTCCACGGGCCATTCGACCCATGGGACATGCTGCATGCCAGCAGGGTCTACTTTGAAACCCATTCGAAGGCACTCATTCCTCTTATATGAGATCTGAGACATAAATAAGATTTAATCATTAAATGAATAGTGGTTTATGCTGTCCTATAGTATTTTTTTTTTTTTAAAAATGTCGTTCAAGCCCTTCATTTTAACAGAAAATTCGATCTCAAACGAAAATGTATTATATTTGATGTGAAAATTATTATAAAGGTTCACACGAATATTTTAAAGCTACTCGGGTGAATTGAAAAACAAGATGAAGATAGATAATCTCCACATTTTTTTTGTAATTTTCACTATTCAACAGGATCGTTTTCTCTGGGAGTAGCTGCGCCTTTGCAAGCTGACACTGAGAATCACAAAAAAACCAGGAAAAAAGGTACAGTACCCCCCGGAAGTCTCGATTTACTCGTAAACTCAGTTTCCTCACTTCGAAAAATATGACTCCTTCTTTAAGACCTCTATATCTGATGAAACTTTAGAAGGGGTTTTCATAATTTTTATTTACCGATACTAGACATAAAAAAATTAATTCGGGAACACGCAATATTTTTCATTTCAAATACTCAAATCTTCATGGCATCCAATTCTGGCTCAATAATGCATATCGATACTATCCCCTTGTATCAATTTTCCCCCTTAAAAATCTCCTTTTCACCCTTGGAATAAATCGTTTCATCTCCTAAAAATTCAAGATTTTTGGAGATAATACGTTTTCAAACTAAACGGTCCAATTGAACGTCCAGTTTTTTTTTTTTTTTTTTTTTTTTTTTTTTTTTTTTTTTTTTTTTTAATGATAGTTAGATGAAATGATCAAAAAATTTCCCATTGATGAAAATTCTTTGTTTTCACTTAAGTGATTCAAAAAAATTATTTCTATCATACTTACATTTATAGCAAATTTAGGCGCTACATCTATGATGTCAGGTATAATAAGATGATAGCGAAGTGTGTGATCGATATTGTTTGTTGCTGATATAACTATCTTGAAGAGGCACACAATGATTGAAATGACGAATGGAAAGTAACACCTCAGACAGTTCTCTGTGAATTTAAATCTAATACGAATCATAGTTAAGTCTCTCCTCCTCAAATACCCTCTGGTCCCGAATATATACAAGGAAAACTGAAAAAATAAAACTTGAATAAGTTTGATGAAGTTATACTTTAAAATTCGCTAATTAATACTTGAAAGCTTTTCAAATACGTTTCTTCCTTTTTAATCAATAATTATCAATGCTGAAGAATCATAATTGGTGTTTAAATGAGCGTGCGTGCTATGCCAACTTACGTTGTCTGGCAAGCCTATAGTATTTTAAAAGTTACCCTATCAGATGATGAGAGATTGAGAATTTTTCGTATTCTTTCATCTCTACTGGTACCCTCTTTTCATGTTCTAAATACTTCTAACTCAATGGAAATTTGTGATGGATCACTATAAAGAACATAAAAAATGCGGAATTTCGGTCTAGATCACAAGTCTTTCTTCATCATCCTTTTACTGTGTTGGCCAGTATTAAAGTCTGCAAATTTCAACTTTATCGAACCAGCCCCCAGGAGTTTGGGTGACGATAGTTATTGACCTCTGGTTCTCGCTGAAAAGTTTCACGTTTTATTCTCTTTCCGACTTTATCATCCAATCACGGTTTTTGAAAAAAAAAATGTCCAACTCGGGACCAGACCCTCTAAGTTAAATATTAATTCATGACATCTCTTTTAAAAGATCAATTATTAGAAACAGAAAACAAAGTTACACTTATTAGCGAAAATCAGAGGTCACTAATTATTAGTCCAAATGATAGCCACATGAAAGTTGAAATTTGAAGAACTTTGATCGGCCGCCATTTTAAGTGGTGATGGATTACTTGTTATCGGGACGAGAGTTCAACATTTCTTATTTTCGTTTTAATTCTGTACCGAAAGGGGGGAAGGAGGTTGCCATTTGACATAAAAATTGGGATCCAGGCCAACCCAGAGGGTGGTCTCCATATTAACTTGAGGTGTCTCAAAATAAGTAGCTTCCTTCAAACTATATGGGCTCTACCAAAATTTCATTGCTCCATTCCAACTTTTTCAAAAGTTACGGAGTCCTTCAGGACTTTTTGATCGCCCTTTGCCATGTAGGATGAGCACGTTCTTTTACGTGAAAGATACAGAAAATCAGTAAGCAACACATTTGATGAACTTTAAAAAAAGACTCTCGTCAAGAATTGAGGTTATGCATGTTCATTTAAGTACAGATTTTCGTTGTTATCTCATGTAGATGATTTCCAAGGAAAAAGAGATGGGCTCACTTACTTTAGAATCAACTCCTGCAAAATAAAGTGGTAAATGTAGGAGTATAAATTATAACTACTATTGTCTATAGTTTTTTAACCACAATATTTTTTTTAAAAAATCAGATCCTCGCACAACCTGTTTCTAAAACTCAATTATTCCAAACATTTTAGAAAAAAACGACACATATTATGACAACGTTTGGATTAATGCCCATATTATGCAGAAATGACTAAAAAAAAAAAAATGTGAGCAATGTTGGTTGATTCTTTCCAGTTCGAGAAGTTATTCTTTTGCTTTTCGGGGCTGTTCCTAATTTTCTTGTGTGATTCAGACTTTAAGCGTCAGTTACATCATTCTATTGATAGTCTGATAAAACAACAAAGTAGTTTATAAGCTCAACTAATTTGTTTCAAGTTCCTTTCACATAGCGTGAATATGGTTCCATCTCTCCATAAGTTTTTCAAGGAGGTCTGGCTGCAATTGAGGTACGAAGTTTTCAGTACTCAACTCATATTGACCACATTTTGCTCTCAACCCATCGAGTACTAGGTAGAAGGCTACAGCGAATTAACGGTGCATAATAATTCATCCACAGGATGGCGGGAGAGTGCCTTTTATTTTGGAGACTACCTCATTACACTATGTGGGATGATTTTTATGATAAATTGTGGAAAAGGTAACCAATTTTCAATAATATTTTGTTAATCGATTATATTATGCTGTATGGAAATTCAATCGTCAAAATTATTGAGAGTATTTCGTAATCTGAATATTTTGTTACCAACTCTTCTTTTTGATTAGGTGAATTCATCAAAATGGCCTATCTAGATTCTATTCTCGGTATCTATTCTCGGTTGTCAAGCCTATAATCACCCATGGCAGTGAAGTGTGACGGTTGAAGAAGCGGACCCAAGAAATGCTCAAGGCTACAGGGATGGATTTCTGGTGAAGATCGGCTGGTATCTCGAAGAAAGAACATGCCAGGAATGAACGTGTCCGAGAGATAATGGGCGTTGAGGGGATAGTTATGCACGATATCATGACCAAGCAATTGGTATGGTATGGGCAAGTGTAGAGACGTGTAGGCGACGGAGAGGGCGTCCAGCCAAACGGTGGGTAGAGGGCATCCGTGAAGAGATGGAGAGATGCCGGCTTCCGGAGGATCTCTACCATGACAGATTCCTGTGGCGGGTAGGCGTCGCAGAGCGCCCTAGCGTGCCGCAAAAGCGGCTTATACATACATAGATAGTTAATCCAAATTCGGAGCCGTAGAGAAGGGTGAGGGGTTCTTTTGAAACTGGACTCTGCGGCACCGTATATACAACTATGGTCATCCGATTCCTTTGAGTGAAATTTAAGAATTTAAAATGTTCATAATGTTCGCTATTAAAACGCTATTTAAAATGTTCTAAACCGGATTCAATTACTCCAATAGGTGTGCGGTAATGTTAAGTGATACAAAATTTATCAAGAAAATGTCTACCTCCATAAGTAATGTCTTTGATGGTTGTAGATTCGGTTTCAAGCGCCGTTTACATCTCCATGGGTGATGGTGCGAAATGTTCCCGAAACGGATTATATTTAGGTGCAGTCGGTCTCCGAGTAATTTGGTACAAAGGCCATCCCGTCATGAAAAAATTTACAGCAAAGAGAGTTAGGTTATATTTCTCGGCAAACTTGCGAGCCGAGAACTTGTACCTCTGCTTGAACGATCTGCGAACATAAGGAAAACATTATTCACCATAGGTAAAGGTATACTTACACGCGGCTAAACTTACAGGATATTTCAGGGCGGCAATTGATTGAGCAGTCGCAAAATTTGACATAAATAAGCTGGGTATCACTAGAAAAATGGGAATTTTCATCCAACCGTTTTACGTAATATCAGTTAAGTACCTATATAATATCTTCCTGCACAAAATTTCATAAAATATCTAATTTTCCCCGCGCTGATTTAAATTTTCTTATGCATCCAGGTTTAGCATGTAATGCAGTGGTTTAAACTAAAAAAATATGTTTCCTTTTCTTCTTCTTTCTTGAGATATACAGTTCTAAAATGTCCGTTTTATATAATATTTTAAAAGATAGCCGAGCATAATTATTGCAAAAAAATGTTTAGAGTATTTCGCACAACGTAAAACAGACAGCTATGGCTTATTTTCGGGAACAGAGGTAGCTACCTCCACTGTGTTATGGTCAATTTATAAGCGGGCATTTTCCAACATTGCAATGTCCACATGTGCAGAAATGATGCTAGTAGTTTCGATATGTCTTAGACAGGACTAAGATTGTATTTGTGATATTAAGTTTTATACAAGTTGTAGTTTGTATGAAAGGCTATGATAAAAATTGACAAGATAAAACCATTTTAGTATTTACCCGTCTCGTGCTGAGGGATATCGTGGTTCATCAAATTGTACATGAGAATTTTGTGAGTAGACCAAAAATGTAGTTCTATGCAGACCTGAAAAGCAAAACTATACATTTCAATGATTCGGTAGTATGAATTTGAGACGCTACTGCACGAAAAAAGAAGAGTAAATCGTGAGAAATTTTAAACCAACAATTAAGTCCTGTTAAATTAAATTGGGTTTTGAGAATCCTTTAACTTGTTGTAGGTTGCATTTAGTTCGATATAGAGAATCTGAGAATCTGAGAAAGAGAGACTGGAAGGGAACAAAAAAAGCTTCCTTAGGATGTAACTTACATGCATATCGAACGTGGTTACTATAATGCTTCATTGTGGTCGCAAAAACATGTATATTGATGCTTAGAATTGTTTTTATGCACCGAGAAGTTTAATAAGGCAAATGACAAGAAAATTACTTGTTCGCAATTGCGTAAATTCTCAAGGTGCAGTGTTAACCTTCAAAACGCGTTTCGGTTTCAAAAGAAAATTGAGAGCACATAAGTGAATTTGATAAAATGTATTTCTCCTGCGAATTTATTAAGTTGTTTTTCCCTCTTTTTTTGCAGATTTATTGGTTTACTAGTGGCCCTTACGTGCTTTGAACGTAGCAATTTATGCTGACTAAAAGATGGGAACAATCTTCAGAACATCCCAGCAAAACTAAAATTTTCCGACGCAGTGCACACCAAATTATCCCGCCACCGAGAAAAATCCTGCACCACCATTAGCTCGTGTCAAAACTATTCCTCGCTAGATTTTACCGAACAATGAATGTCCTCAATCCGTTATTCCAACAATTAAAAAATAGCAAAGAACTTAAAGGCACCAACATTCAGCATCATTCTACGCCGTGCATGTAAAAATTTGGCCTCATTATCAATTAATTCAATCACTTACCAGATATTCTCAAATTTAGATATTAGTAATTTTCAACTCCAAAAGAATTTCCATGAGATTGACGTAAAATTACATAGAGAAGTAATTTTACTGATTCCACTGGTCAACACAGGTAAATTTGTGTGCATTTTATTAATCAATTTCAGATAGATTTTTGGCGCTGATTCCAAAGGTGGCCTCCGTTTTCTGGATCAGGACAATTTTTCCAGGAAGAACCGTCATTTTCTTTAAAAATTGAGATTTTTTAAAGAAAAAGTCGTCTTCCGGAAAGTTTGTGCATGGTAGACTAAGGTGATTTTTGGATTTTTGGAGCCATGCGTTGCATGCTTATGCAAGTTTCCTCTTTATTCCTAACATCGAGATTTTACCGAACAAGTGCTCCTCTCCGCCCTTATAACAGCAGTTATAGACCGTGTATATGATTGAGTGTACTCATTATCTCTCCTTTGTTTCTACAGTTTCCTTTAAGTATAGCTGCAACATCGTTTCTAATCGCGCCGAACATGGAGCGGCTGCCGGTAGGCGCGATCCGCATTTGAGCGCCTACAAGTTTGCATGAATACTTCACGCATTGCGCTGAACTCAGTGCGGCTCCGGTCGCTGCACGGAGCGAAGATCAAATTAGCGCCTACGAGATTGTAAGAATACTTCACGCATTGCGCCAAACACATTGTCGTCGCTGGTTGGCACGGCGTGGGAGGCATATGGGCAATTCGACGACAAATGTCCAATTTTACCTCGAAAAAACCGAAATTCACAATGATTATTCGGTTTTTTTTCCTAGATAAGTATAGTATCAGGCTTAAAAATTGAATACGGGTACCTTTCTTTATCAGGCACTCCCTCATTCTTTTTACACGCCAAATATCCCATGCGGTGTGACGGCCGTATCTGTGACGGTCGTGACAGATTTAAAAAAGAAAACGGCGAGTACACTCAACAGCAATGAAGCATAATCTAAAGGTCGATAAAGTCATCAATACAGTGGGCAGACAGATTTCTCAGAATATCATACGCTTCAAAAATAAGAAAGGTCGTGACACACAAAAGGGTTCTATGGATTAAAGTTGCGTTTTAAATCATTCCAAAATATTCTAAATTACCGCGCTGAATGCTGCACAATCATTTTTTAAGAAATTCCAAAATCAATCGAATTATGCCTAGCTTAATAAAAATGAAGATATGAGTTATTGCCTACCAGAATGTTTGGCCGAAAATGGACCAATGTAGCCGGTCATTTCCTGACCGTGACGAAAATCACATCCTTTAATATTTCCCACGATGTAGTGCTGTCTTTCTGCCAGGGTTGGATTTTTACGAAGAGGAACATCAGGATCTGAAAAGTGAAAAGAAATTTTCATCATATGAAGAATAAAGCACCTCTTGATTAGCTTTAACACGATTTAAGACTGATTTTTTTCACCAAAAATAAGTACTTTTCCCCTACCTCTGGGTGAGAATACTTTATGTTCAAGAATAATGAACATACGAGTTCCAAAAAAAGTGTTTTTATACTCTTTGCTAATGAATTTTCGAGGCAAAAAAGACTAAAAAACTAACGCGACCAAGCAGGTGCGATTTGTTTCACTGCATACTTTTTTCCATTTAATTTATGAAACTGCCCAGTTTCGTCATATTTATTTACCGGGAAATGTTGACTTCTTTTCCAACTATTTTTATTCCCTCTCAGTCAACCAACAGTTGCTGCTGGAATGCATTCAGGTATTTTAGCCATTTACGACTGATGAAATAATTAAGGTACTCATTTATGAAATGATCAAAATGCCCATAATTATAGCTCCCACTCCTCAGTAACTGTCCGTGTCAAGTGATAAGTGCAAGAGTGAAAGTAAGGAGCACAAAAATATCTTACCAATCATCAACAATGTGAACAGTGTGCCAGCCCTTGCCGTCCACCTTAATTTTGGCACTCGTTGCATTTCTGCCGGGTCTATTTTTTCACCCATTCTGAGCGTTCTGTTGTGATGAGACACCTTTTAAACACAACGAAAATCGGTGTTTAATGGATGAAACGAGAGTTCAAGGCTATTTTTGCCACAGTTTCTTTTTATTTATTCCACGTCTTATGTTTTTATTTTGTAATATTTTCATATGTGCAAAGGTACACCTTGGCTCAAAATGTGTTAATCAACTGTCATTCACTTGCAGTGGTGAGTATGAATCAGATATCGTCACCTTCCAGGCAAAGTATCACAAGCGCCATGCGACGTTTAAAAATTTCCGCCGCCATTTTATTTCTTTACTGAGAAATTGTTGGTTGAATCTGTTTGGCAATTTCACTAAATTTTATCGGCAGCACAAAGAAAATTCAGTGAAATTTTTGGACAGCTTCGTTGAACAATTTCTCTGTAAAAAAATAAAATGGCGGCGGAAATTTTTAAACGTCGCATGGCGCTTGTGATACTTTGCCTGGAAGGTGACGATATGTATGCGTAACAAGATCCGAAGCAACATTATTTGCAAAAACTTGTCCAAAAAGTGCTCACTTCAGCATTCATCAGTCATCACTTGTAGAATTATATTTATGTTATACTCAACGAATAGCTCATTAATATAATCAATCTATAAAAACTCCTGCCTCACCCATTAACACCGCATATAGTTACATCGTGAGTGTGGAGTCTCTGAAATAGAATATTTCTATTTGGATAACTTCAATCACATTATTATCCGTGGAGTCCTAACGTTCTATGAATCTTGCCTTTCATAAATTGTACGATGTAACTGTAGAAACACGATCCCGTGACTAGTGCTAATATCCATAAGTACCCGGTAGAAATATGTTTAACAATATTTCCAAAAGGAAAAAAAAAACAAGTTGGTTTTTGCAATCGCTAGCGATAGCAATATTCGTCATGGGAACTTTAGCTTCTGGGATATGAAAATTTTAAGGTACAGTTCGTTTGCAGTATCTTCAGAATTGAAGGGGCTATGTAATTTTGTGTCAACATCTCTTTTTTAACATTTTTAATTTTTTTTCTTTGCATACAAGAAACCTGTTATTTACCAATTATTTATCTTCGTTGGATTATACATGGTTTTCGGAAGTTAACGCATTTAACTTTCAGTTTCGCTTTTTCGGCGTAAAGTATGATATTTTTACTCTACAAATATGCCCGAATACGCATCATAAGTGACCTATGTGCCTCCTAAGTTGCCATGTTTTCATTCAAATAGATGTAACTGAAATGTTCGATGTGCACTATACTACTTTCATGTCATTGCTTTATTTATTTTTTGAAAAAAGAAAATACCATCATTAATTTGGGCGAACAGAGAAAATATACATCAATATTTGGGTCAACATCTCCCTGATTATAAAACGGATGAATAAATTAGTATTTCTGTATCAAAAAACTTAGCTTTTGTCTTCAGAGATACACTGATTCTAGTCCAAGGCAATTTGTTTTATTGAAAAGACAAAAAAACAAAAAATAAAAAAAAAAAACAACTGAAATGTTAGACATACTATTTTCATGTCTTTCTATTTGTATCAATAGGTACATCTTGCTTAACTTACGAACGTTGAATGCAAATAAACTTTATTGAAAAAAAGAAAATAACGTCATTAATTTGGGGAAACATGTGGCTGATTATATGAAGGAGGTATATTCCAGTATTTTTGTTTAACATATTAACTCACGAGAAAATGTTCGTACATTTATCATCTAGTATTAATTATTTTTTGATGATTGGTCTAAAACATTCAATACAACCATTAAAAATTAACTCCCATCGCCGGGTATCGAACTCCCGATCACCTATTGCCCGCACCTTATCAAAAAAATGGGGCGCCTCAGTCAACTAGGCTGTCACGGATCCGCGACGTTTCAAGAAAAAATAGCATTTAAAAGACTCGGACGATGGGCGGGACTTATCACAAGAGTTGTCCTTGAGCGATTCGCGTCTTCGTAGCTCCTGAGATATGAGAGAAATGAGCTAAGCGCCTTTCTCTGTGAGACATTGTTTGCCTATGCTATCATGTGTCTCAAGGTTCATCTCAGCATGCATTTGCTATCGCGGCAGTAAGCTGAGGCAATATTTCTGTATTCATGGAATAAATCAATCAATCGAGTTCCAATTTTGGCTCATATATCCGTAACGGGTCCTCCAGAGCAGTTCTCCACCTTGCACAATAGTTATAATTTCTTTATTTCTATTTGTAAAATTTGAGGTGGGATAATGGCGGCTTCTCAAAAGCAACGAGGTAGGCGATCTTTTGCACCAACGAACAGAAAACTGATGGCGAAAAATAACCAATGAAAACCTCCCAAAAAAAAGAATTTGCCTAAAATCGGAACTTCGTGGTTCTGCGCAGATTTACCAGTCAGACACGACATCTCAAGGTGGAAAAAAACTCGCTGAGAGCGAATTTTAGAAATCAACACAACTTGACGTAGAGACATGATTGGCTAAAAAATACAACGGTTTTTGATACATCGGAAAATCAACCAAAAATCGAAGACGGGGCGAAACGCTCAAGGTCGCAGAGGCATAGGGAATCCCATAGCGATAGCAACGGAACGATTGTAATATCATGGGGAACTCCGTTCCCATGACAATACTCGTAATTTTTCAAGGCTCGAAAGAGAGCCGCAGATAATAATCCAGCATACTTCATTCAGGAAACCAATGAGTTAATTGAATAAACTTACGTCTATGGTAAAATTAGGTGCTGCGTCAATGACATCAGGAACGATGCCATATTTAAGTAACAATCGTTCAGCGAGGATTGATATCGAAACAACCACATTGAAGAGACATGAGATAAATAAAATAGCTAATAAACAAACCCTTTGCGCATGAAAGTTTGATGGTTTTAGAGCGGTCAAAGCCATAATGAAATTACGTTTCCCTGCGTCTCTAAATTAAAGCCATACCATAGCCATTAACCATAAATTGAATGAGAAAAATGAAAATTTATTTCTCATGACCGAGGTTGGACGATTGTGAGACACAACATGTCATTAACTATGAACAGACCAAACTATACAATTTATGCGTTTGAAAATCAAAGGATTGAAGCTTTTTAGTGGAAAAGTTGTGTACGTCTTTTGAACAGAGACATTAGCTTCTTACTGGTTATGAACCCTTTTTCAATTCGTGTACGTCTGTCTTGATAAGCTGATAAAAGAGAGTAGATTTTAGATTATAAAATTGAATCACTTTTTGTTAACCTACATTTCGTCAACAATAGTGAAAATCCAGTTTTTAAATTTGGCATCACTCTACGTTGAAGTTAAGTGAAACGATTTGATAATTAGCGGTGATTTACGCAGTATAGCTATTTTTAATGCTCATGAATTCGGGTTTAAGATGTAACACTGTAACAGTGCAAATTCGGAAGCAGTGGAATATTTCTTCTAAAATTCGTAAACATTCCTTTTTACAATTCATAAAAACGCTGGTCGGTATGTAAAAAAAATCAAAAGAAATTTCGGATATTTTATCCCTCATATTTAATGTTTTAGGCAATTTTTATTTTTGTATGGAGGAGCGTACACAGGGATGATTTTCTCGCTTTAAACATCTAAAAAACGCATCTTAAAATCCTCTCTCTTCACTCATTATTTCTTTCGTTGTGAGCAGTTTCGTGTGTCGTAATATGAGTGATAAAGTGTGTGCTCTAATATCTGATCGATGAAGCTCTAATATCGGTAAAACTGAAAATGGAAAACAGTCCGTCCCTATTCATCCAAGCGTTCTTAACCTATTTATCTTGTGTACCCTCATGTGTCTCTCAAAGTTCCTCTGAGGAAGCTGCAGCTGAAGAAGCAGCTGAAAAATTGCTAAGAGACACATTTGAATCTGAGAAATTTGTTCCTGATATAATTCCTGAGCCGCCGCTCGAGCAACTGCAGGTGCGTTATTTTCTGTTGTTTGCTTGTTGCTCTGTTTAAATTGTTAAGCATGGTGATAAAGTTATTTGTATGGTTTCTGTATTGAAACTCCATTTACTTATCACATTATACTACTGGCATATTAACTCTTAATTGCCCAATGTGGGTCAGATTCATGCGAGGTCTCATTTTTTAAACTCTTCCTCCAGAATTTGAGTGACGAACCATTTTGGCACATAGAGCCAGGCATTGCGAGTTCGAGCCTCGTCCCATCGCGCCTTCAATTTTATAGATGCAACACGGACATCCATCAAGCACATATAGTTGTATCTCTGCGCTATCATTATAACCCACCTTGAGGTGTCTCTTATTATTGAAATTAAAGAAAAGTTAAGGCTAAGTTTGCTCAAGACATATGATGTATCCAAATCAGTATTCATTTTAAAAAAAAAGAGAAAAAAAGTAAAAACATATTTAGAGGTCTTTCTTCTAAAAGTTGGTATTTTGGCAGGAGTTGTGTCCTGCCAGGGACTTTAGTTTTACCGACAACTCCTAGAAATCCCAAGCCGGGACAAATTGACCCAACCAAGTTTCCTGGGGAACTTACCTATAGCGGATGAGGAGGGGGGGGGAGAAATCGCCTCTCGAGGTGAACTCAAAAACTATTGAAATCAATGTAAATTCAATACGGGTCAATAAGACCCGCATTGACCGCATTGAGACGGGTCATTGGGACCAGCGGGGCGATTATTGAAATGATATCGACTCTATGTCGCCGCTTTGTCGTGTCGCGCCATCGATTAAGCATATGCTTAGTCGATAGCATTTCAATAATCGCCCCGCAGGCCCGTCACATCCCATCTCGGGCCCTGGTACCAGTTTTAAGGTCCGAGCTCCAAGCACGGAGGGGAAGAGGGGTCCGAGGGGCATCCCCCGAGAAATTGTAGAATTTATACGACTAATCAGACGCATTTTGAAGCTTCCATACATAATTTTTCCATCAATTTCTGCGGAATAATTATGATTTTTTTCCTACTTTCAGCACAAAATACTTGCGAATTGTTGAATTTGAAACATCTGGAACATTTTTATTTTTTTTTTTTTTTTTTTTTGGGGGGGGGGNCGAAAATCAAGTTGGTCAACCCCTAAAAAGTTTCTATGTAGTCTCTAAATGAACCCCCTAAAAGGAAAAAATTTTAAAAAAATTTTAACCCGTGCCTCAAAGGGCCTAAAGGGCCTAAACCCAAAATTCAAAAATTTTGGCAAGCGACACATCAATTCTGAAGGAAAATGGCAAGTTACGGGCCTTTTAGGCCTTTTAGGCCAGAAATTTTGTCCGTTTTGCCGTATCTTGAAGCGTAAGGTCACAAACGGCCCAATGACGACGTGAGGCTATGGGCTGGCGGGGCGCGCCGCGGCCGGCCCGCCGCTGAGCGTGCGCGCGCGGCAGGGTTGCACTATGGAATTATTTCCGTAAACCTCGCGCGCGTTCACGAAACCTCGCGCGTGTTCACAAAGAAAGTCGGCGCGTGGTTGCGCCACTGGCGCGGAGCAATTCCATAGCGCGCGACATAGGTATCGCTGCGCGCTGTCAGTATTTCTCCGCGCGAGGTGTAACTCGACGCGCGCGAGAGCAAACCCGCCGCGCGCCATGTAGGATCGCATGGCTCAAGGTTGTATGTTGCCAAACGTCTTTTTAATTTAAGTTTAAAACCTAACCTAACCTAACCTTACCTAACCTAACCTAACCTAACCTTACCTAACCCAACCTAACCTAAACTAACCTAACCTAACCTAACCTAACCTAACGTAACCTACTATTAAGCTAAAATTAAATCTACATTTGGCAGCCGTGTCTTGACCTTGTTTAGGCTCTTTAGCAGCGCGCGCGAGAGATTTTCGCCCGCGCGAGGTATTGTCGTGACCTTGGAGATTTCTTCGCGCGCGGTGAGATTACTTCGCGCGCGGGGAGATTACTTCGCGCGCGGGGAGATTTTTTCGCGCGCGCGAAGATTCTTTGCGCGCGCCGACTCTACTGCTCACGCGACGACTCTGCTGCTCACGCGCCGACTTTTTTCGTGAACACGCGCGAGGATTACGGAAATAATTCCATACGCATCGCCGCTTTACACCGGCGTAGAGGAACGAACGGTGGGGTGGGAGGGAGATATCCGGTGGAAAAGCATCCACATTTTCTATCCATAATGAAAATGCATTATACTTTTTCAATATAGATGAGGAAATATGAGCCATACAAGGAAGAAATGAAAAGAGTGACAAATACATACAGGGTGTTTCAGACCACCAGTACCAGGCCTTTTTCTCGGTTGGTATAGGTCGCACGAAGTCGGAGACCGCGGGGTTGAATAGGGAATTGACCCCAAGGAATCCGAATTTCGTGGTCCCGAAACCCTCCCACCTCCCCTTGGGGGGTAAAGGGGGGGTCACGATGCTAAAAGTCACGGTTCCCGACCAAATTGCGGATAGATCGCATCAGAATTGAAAAGCTTTGAATATTTCACGTGGAATTGACCCCTAAAAATCCAAAATCGGACCATCCAAGGCCCAAAAATGACCCTTTAAAGAGGGGGACAGTACCCTCCTCCATACTTTCTCTTTGGTCTCAAAATTGACATAAATTCTCCAGAAAAAGACAGTTTCCGAGGTAATCGACCATGAGAAATCCAAATTTCATGGTCCCGAAGCTCCTCCAGCTCCCCTTGAGAGGTAAACGGTGGGGCCCAATTTTGAAAATCGGGGCTCCTTTCCGAATCGCAAATTGATTGCATCCAAATTGAGGAGCAGAACACATTTACATCTTAAGTGACTCCTAAGAGTTCTAATTGACCCCCCTGAACGGCAGAAAGTAACCCCCTGAGGAGGGGGGCCTCGCCCCCGCCAAAAATTTCTCAGGATTCCTCTTTGGTCGCAAAATTGACGTCGATTCTCCAGAAAAAGATGGTTTCTCATGTAATCGACCCCGAGGACTCTAAATTTCATGTTCCCTGAGCTCCTCGGGGTCGATTACATGGGAGACCGTCTTTTTCTGCAGAATCGACGTCAATTTTGCGACCACAGAGGAGTCTTGTGAAATTTTTGGCGGGGGCGAAGCCCCCCTCCTCAGGGAGTTACTTTCTGCCATACAGGGGGTCCATTAGAACTCTTAGGAGTCACTTAAGATGTAAATGTGTTCTGCTCCTCAATTTGGATGCAATCAATTTGCGATTCGGAAAGGAGCCCCGATTTTAAAAATGGGGCCCCCCCGTTTACCTCCCAAGGGGAGCTGGAGGAGCTTCGGGACCATGAAATTTGGATTTCTCATGGTCGATTACCTCGGAAACTGTCTTTTTCTGGAGAATTTATGTCAATTTTGAGACCAAAGAGAAAGTATGGAGGAGGGTACTGTCCCCCTCTTTAAAGGGTCATTTTTGGGCCTTGGATGGTCCGATTTTGGATTTTTAGGGGTCAATTCCACGTGAAATATTCAAAGCTTTTCAATTCTGATGCGATCTATCCGCAATTTGGTCGGGAACCGTGCCTTTTAGCATCGTGACCCCCCCTTTACCCCTCAAGGGGGGGTGGGAGGGTTTCGGGACCACGAAATTCGGATTCCTTGGGGTCAATTCCCTATTCAACCCCGCGGTCTCCGACTTCGTGCGGCCTAAACCAACCGAGAAAAAGGCCTGGTACGGGTGGTCTGAAACACCCTGTATATAGTTTGTACGGTTAGGAGTGTAAGTGGGGAAAATTTGCCGTAACTACAGAACAGCCCTGAAAATCTCCGGGAAATAAAAGCTGCTATTGATGAGAGGTTTGCATGAGAGGTTTAATTAAGGACTAATTAAAAAGATAGGTGCGATGTTGTCGAATCGTAAGCCCTTTACGCGATCAAAAGCGATTAGTGTAAATTTAATTGGAAAAGTTTAAGAAAAAGATGAAAGAAAATTGCCCCAAATTCGGGAAGTGCTTAAAGTGTTTTTCTATCATGTGAAGTGTTCGCACATGAATGTCAATGGCGGTGCGTCGAAAACCTCTTATCTTGTAATTCCAATATGGAAAGAAAAATGTAGAATCCCTGTGATACATAGTGTCCATGTTTTTAAAAATGTTTACATTTTTATGAGGAGTGGAGGCGCGTATCAAAAAATGCTAGCCGTCGATCGCTGGTTCAAGAGAATTTGGAGACTGATTTCCCTGCTAAAAGTGTTACATGAAGAATGGCATGTA